GGGAAAGACAACTGAAAGAAAAAACATAATGAAAGTAAGTCTTGACATGAATATTTATATTTTAATTAGCATGGTTAAGTACATAGCTAAAATAATGAATTTATAAAACTATTTTAGGCAAGCAAATCTGTTAAAACATTGGATTGCAAAGCCAAATGCTTGAAAGCTAGGAAATGCAAATCCTCATCGGTGAGACAAGCTTAGTTGTATCTTGTGATGAAGCATTTCTCAAAAATATTTATAATTTTGCCAGCTGTTCTCAAGTAAGATGCAGATTATTGTGACAGAGGTGAGGGATGTTACTGAGGAGTTAATAGGAAGTGGGAAGTGAAAACGTAATGTGTCTTGCAAGAATTGGCTGGGGCATGGCACCTTGGAGAGCAGAGCAGTGCAGACAGCAAAAATGGAGCCCATAGCCGTTGAGCCAGGCTTTCACTTCTTGGCAGGGACCATGAGAGGCAATGATGGATGGCCAAAAAGCAGTGACTTCTGGCAGTGGTAGACTCCCTTAGCTCTTCATGTCGTCTGCCTTGCCCGTAGCCTTCTTGGTATTGCTCTGTCCCCTGACCCTATCTCAGCGATCTGCTGGATGCGTCCGCTGTTCAGCTCTCATTGAGCCTTTGGTAATGTGTTCTCCCTTCTCCTGTATGTGTGCTGTGCACTAAATGAAGTGCACAAAAAATGATTTGATCAGGTTACCGTAATTTTTGTGGCTATGGTTATCTGAATAACTTTTAAGAGCTTGCATTTTCTGTGCTGAATATAAGATTTGACTTCATGATCTTCTGTGTGTGTAGTTTTTGGTGTATAACTTAAGCGTTTGCAAGGAAGGGAGTGAAATACATTTTAAATTGTAATACTGCATTTGCTACACAGGGCATAATGCATCGTTATCATTTGAATTTTGAATTTGAACACTGAAATGTTACTTATCCCCAGATCTAACTGTAATACGTGAAATAACTGAAAAGCTATTATATAACCACACACACCAACAGAAGCTTCTCTGTGTGTGTGTTTGGTGTTGTGTTTTTTTATTTTTTGTTTTTGTTTTTTTGCTTGTGGAATCCAGCTCGAGTAGAGGTATGGCCACTTAGCACTCTGCTCTGTGCTGGGGAGGCAGGACTACAGGTACTGCATTGCTCTGTTCCTAGTAAAACTTAATTTTCTTGGTGGCTCCCAGGTGTTCCTGATGTGTTGTATCCTCCTCCTGCTGTTGGAGAATGTCAGCCTTCCCTCAACAGAATTGTTGATTGTTTGATGAGTTTCCAAGGTTTCCTTAAGAAGCGCAAGGGAGAGAAAGGAAATGACAACTTTTGATGGCATATCTCAGCTAAAGCTTGAAGCAGTTCCATGGGGCAAAGAAAAGGACTCTGTAGTCTGAGGGCCGTTATATGCTAACGAGCAGTATGTTACAAAATTGAGATGCGAGAAATTTCTGAAGCAAAGATTTTGAATCCTCTTTGAACAGCGTTAGGAAAAGAGGTCACCTTCAGCTTCTTAAACATTTGTATCCATATTTAATGCTTTGAGATGGATAACACTTACACAGAGGATAAGGTGTGAACATAAAATACTGAAAGTGAGTTTTGAAGCAGAGCAACTCAGTAGGAATTACCAATTCATGGTCAGAGTAGTAAAGAAAATCTGTCCCTCGTGTATCAGGTAGACCTGAAAAATAGATAACATGAAGCTATGAAGGTGTGTCCAATATCCCAGTCGTGTCTCTTCCCCACTGAAAGTTATATGAGTTTTTCTAGGCACAGACAGTTGAATCGTTTTGTGCAACGTCTAGCGCTGTGGCAGCTCGTGTTTGACTAAGGTGACTGGATGCCAGAACGCTGGCATGATGTTGCAGGAGATGCCCTCTGCATAGCGGGCTGGCACTCTGCCTGCAGTGGCATCTCTTGGAGCTGTGCGCTCTCTTCAGTCTCGCAGGAGCATTGGAGGCGTGGCAGGTCCAACTCAGTAAATATTCCTTTTCAGTCTCTCCATAGCAAGTCAAAGCTTTCAGTATTTCTTTTTTCCCCTTTGCATTTTAGATATTGTATAATTGTATTTTATGTTTAATCTAAATTTTAACTTTACATTTAAGACTGTGGAAAGATATAATTTTGTTTTTCTGTAATGTTCTCTCAGTAATAAAATGTAGATTGATTAGCAGGGAACAGCTCTTTAGTGTTTAAAATCTGTCCTGCGTGTGAAATTGTTGTGCCTGCCAGTGATGTTTGTGTCAAGAGTTTAATTTGTGCAGTGTGTCACTTGTAAGTCTTTTACTGCGTTCAGCAGGCTTGTTATGCTTGTTTCAAATGATTTTTTTAATGGAAATGTCTTTGCAGAACGTGTCCTACTCAGCAGCAGTCTCTTGCTGTTGCAAGGCCAGTTTCCTCAGTGCTTTGGCTACAAGAATTACAACTCCAGAAAATAAGTTTTCTTTTCAGAGCTTGCTGCTGTTACGCATCTGAGACTTCTCAGTGCCTGTCATGGCAGTCGGCTGCTCAGGCTGCCTTGAGCAAGCAGGAGCAAATCTCCACGTGGTTCTTGGAAACAGCTTTCTCCCTCGAGCTGACCAGAAAGGAGGATATTTGCTGAAATGAGCTCCTTGGGAATATGTTGCTACTATGAACTTATAGAGCTCAGTGTTATGCTTTGTCCCTGTATTTTTGATGCACGTAGTTTCCTCCATGGTATTGTCAGCAGTGCTGTATGCCTCTTGCTGAAAAGTTGTAGCGATGACAAAAGCTTTGCTGAAATTTGGGCATCAGCTCTCCTTGCTGAGATGACGTTTCCCATGGATTTTTTTTTAATCACCATCCTGTGACCCAGCATCCTTACAGCTAGATCTGTCTCTTGCCAATGGTGTCTGTGACTCAAGTTCTAAAGATGCTTGCCTCCAGTCACGGGGAGTGCCTACTTCCTCTGAGACTGTTTCCATTTCAATGTTTTTGGCATAGGCTTCTCTCTTCAATAGTGTGTGTGATTTTGTGTTTTTTTTTTTGTTTTGTTTTAGAGAGTTGTATGTCCCCCTCCCCAGTGAGATCCTTATGAAAACTTCTGCTTTCATCTGGAGTGGCTTTTATGCCTTCCAGGGTCTGTTATAGATCTTCTCTTCAGAGAGGCCTTGTTTTTTTGGGTTCCATTTTCAGAAATACCTATGACTTTCTCCTTGTTATCTGATCAATCTTAATTTTTTTGACAGTTCCCTCCTCCCCCCACCACTTTTCCCATTCTCCTTTCCCAAGTTTCAGACATCTTGAAGTACTTTCTTTGAAGCCCTTGGGCCTTTCATTTACATTTTAGGTAGCTGCATGTTACTCTTGTGTAGTTTGTTCATAGTGTTTCTTTCCAGTATCCATTTCAACCTGTGTTATTTTGTGTCTGACCTCTTGGCTTACAGGATGGGACACTGAAAGTCTAACCAGCCATGTATGCACCCTGGTAATAATTTAGGGCTCTGGCCAATATTTTACTAAAAAGAGTTTGAGATTTTTACTCTAAAAGTTTAATGTTTCTGCTGCAAAAACCAAACTCCATCCATGCTGCCTTTTGGCATCTTCTACCTAATCATAGTCCTCCCTCTAAAGAGTAG